CAGCTCTTTCCTCGACCACTACATGGACGTCCCTGTCGATTTCTCCAAGGTCCTCTTCGTCTGCACCGCCAACATGACCGATACCATCCCGCGACCGCTCCTCGACCGTATGGAGGTCATCAGGCTGTCTGGATATGTCTCGGACGAGAAGATGGCTATTGCTGAAAGGTACCTCGCGCCGCAGGCGCAGGAGCTTGCCGGCCTCAAGAAGGTCGATGTACAGCTGGATAAGGCGGCGATCGAAGAGCTCATCAAGTCGTACTGCAGAGAAGCGGGTGTCCGGAACCTGAAGAAGCAGATCGAGAAGGTCTACCGGAAATCAGCATTGAAGATTGTCCAGGACCTGGGTGAAGAAGCGCTGCCCGAAGCGGAGGCCCTTACAGACGAGGGTAAGGCGGCCCTCGAGGCATCGGAAAAGGAGGGCAAGGCTCAAGAGGCCGGTAAGGAAGCAAGCGAAAACGAGACTACTGAGAAGCCTAGGCTGCCGCTCAAGGTCCCCGAGAGCGTGCATGTCACCATCGGCAAGGACAATCTCAAGGACTACGTGGGACCCCCTGTTTTTACCTCCGACAGGCTCTACGATGTCACCCCGCCAGGCGTCACGATGGGCCTGGCCTGGACACAGCTCGGTGGCGCCGCCATGTATGTTGAGGCGATCCTTCAAGCCGCCCTCAGACGGAGCAGCCGGCCGTCGCTCGAGATCACGGGCAACCTCAAGACGGTCATGAAAGAATCCTCGACCATCGCCTACTCGTTCGCCAAGTCATGGATGGCCAAGGAGTTCCCCGACAACCACTTCCTCGAGAAGGCCAAGATCCACGTCCACGTCCCCGAGGGCGCCGTGCAGAAGGACGGCCCGTCGGCGGGTGTCACCATGGCGACGTCCCTCCTCTCGCTGTCCCTCGACACTCCCGTCGACCCGGCCGTCGCCATGACGGGCGAGCTGACCCTAACCGGCAAGGTGCTCCGCATCGGCGGCTTGCGCGAGAAGACGGTGGCGGCGCGCCGCGCGGGCTGCAAGATGATCATCTTCCCGCAGGACAACATGTCTGACTGGCTGGAACTTCCGGAGGTATGCATCCCCATCCCTTTTTTGTCTTTCCCTTTTCCTTTTTTTTTGCCCCTTGCTTTTTTACCCCACACCCACCTGCAAAGATTGATCGGCAACGGCGCGTGCTAACGGTAAATCTCTCTCTCTCTCTCCTGCAGAACATCAAGGAAGGCATTGAAGGCCGCCCGGCGAGCTGGTACTCGGAGGTGTTTGACCTGATCTTCCCCAACCTGGACCGGGAGCAGGCCAACAAGTGTAAGATTTGTGATAACAAGAACGAAGCCGATGAGAAGTCGGACGACGACAAAAGCGATTAGAGCGGGTACATCCCTCCGTCCGGGGAGAGGGGGGCAGGGGCGGAGAGAGGAGGAGGAGAGAGACAGAAAGACGAGTCCAGTCAGCCATGCAGGTTGGCTTCGGCCCCGCGCCAATAACAGCTTGCTGTTTATTGAGGCGAGTGGGTTTGACTTGTGTGTGTGCGAATGGATGGGCGCGGGCCCATGGGGGGCTAGGGCAGGGTGCAGAATTGCATACCTACGCCCCACGGCGGCTCGTCGGATTGTAGGATCGATCGGAAGGGGCGGGGGAAAGGGGCCAAAGAAGCGTCGAGCGAGTGGATGAGAGCCGAGAGGGAGTGGGTTGGTGGTGCATTTCACCTCCTTTACCTTTGTTTACAGTCCGCAGAATTTAGGGTGGTCACACGAATGGCTGGCAAAGGTGATGAAATCTTGGACTGAAAGCATAGAACGGTGGCCGGCGTTGCCGTGCACATACACACATACATCCTCACTCCTTGTCAATGGAAGCTCCGTTGTACACTATACTTACCTATTGTACGTCCAGACGCTTAGTTTCAGGGTCCCGGGGTCCTGCGTGTGCTGGTGTTGCTGGTTCAGCATATTGCACAATTCTCCGATTGGGAGACAACACAAGCAGGAATACCACCCAGCCATCTCGAATGACTGGGTGGGCAACGGTACCCGTGATGGCGAGACTCTGCGGTGCGAGCCCCGGTGGTCTCGTCTTACGTTCCCTTGAGCACGCTCACTCGGGGGTTATCTACGGGATGCGGGCTTCGGGCATACGTATGTATGTACGAAGTACGGATAGTTACACCAATGCACAAATCCTTGGGCGTGGGGTTGGGGGTGGCATTCCTGACTCCTGGAGGCATGCACGCCGAGATCCAGGCTCAGTGGAAGTCGAGGAATTGGTGTGGTGGGTTTGTTGTCAGTCAGCCCGACATCCGGGTCCGGTTCCGAAGCGATCGTCGAATATGAATAAATCCATGACATCGAAGACTTTTGCTCGAATCTCGTCTTCATTCCTGACCTGGCGTGCCTGCGGAACCATGTTGAAGATATGCACATCCATACGTAAGTTTGCAGCCAAGTCCGAGATGCATTGGACTCGGACAGCTTGCTGCATGCAGCCTTGTTTCTTGACGTGCCGTGTGCAGTTCCGGTGTCGTCAAACAAAACAGTATTGGTCCTCGGTTGCTATGGTTGTACTTGGGCAGCAATGCTGTGGCCACCCCCCGGTCTACTTAAGCGCGGGGCTGCTTTTTCAAAGGGGGCGAATGGGTGGTGGTCGAGCCGCCGCAAACAGGGCTCGATGAAATGGGTGGATAACCGTTGCGGATGCGGGCGTATTGATTTTGATGTGTGTGCCGTCCCGGAGCCATGGCAATGGGAGGGGGGGAGCTCGTTAGTCTGGTTATTGAAAGAAGCCATCTCAGGTTTGAAATACGCACATGGTTGGAAAATGCATAATAAGTCTGGAGGAGTGCCCCGCGGTCCCGGTGTCGGGTCGGGCGATGGCAACCGCGTTTCTCAAGTTCGGGTTGCCGTTGGGTGTTGGCTCGGTTTTGGTTATTCATTGGCCCAGAGTTGTGGTCAGGCAGGAACCAACAAGGAACCCATCACTTCGGTCGCGGATGGTGGTGCGGCTCATCTTCGCTCAGCTCAAGGACCCCATCTAGCCGGGGCTGCCCGGGCTTTAGCGAGCAGGGAGGCCGGTACTGCACGTCTCTCGAGCATGTAATTTGTATGCACCTATGTAGATATTTGAAGATTTGAACTGTAATTTATGAACGAATCCTTGAGCAAGGATGGCTCTCTCCGGTCAAGAAGTGATGCGGGTGGAATGCAACTTTCTTCGGTTGTATGCTCTTGTTTACCGTTCGGTTTGGTGCTCCCGGCCATCGTTCAGCCTCCAAGGCAGGATAGATTCCTCTCGCGTGCGTTGTCGAGACTCTTCCATGTTTGGACGAAGGGTCGGATGAGACCAGAGGCTGTGGAGCTGAGGGGAAGAGCACCCATGGGCAGCGGTGTGCGGGTCTCCAAGTATCTTGCCAAAAAGAGCACAGAGTCCCACGTGCCCGCGAAAACCCCGGTCAACTGCCACCGTTTACGGCAAAGCTTGATCCTCTTGACCCCATCTTGCCTCTTAGTCTTTCCCCACAGCCCAAAAGGGAAGTGGGGGTCTGGGGATCCGATAAACCGGGCAGCGGCGGGAACGGTCAATTCCATTCTTCAACAGATCACATCAGAAGTCTTCTCACCGCGAAGTTCAAGGATTTCTCTGACCTGACATGACGCAAATCATTATGCAAAGAATTAAGCGCGAGAGACTGAACTAACAAGCAGATGGCCGGGCAGATTGATGTCCATCACAGGGCTGGCGCGTGCATGGTAACGAACCCCTCTGCCCATCGACGCTGTTACACGTGTTGCACCCCACCAACACCCCTGTTTCCGCACTGCCCCACAGAGGTCATTGGCAGTCGCCCATCTGTCCCATCTGTTCCACCTCGATGCCCTCGACCGTCCCTTCTCCTGCTTCGTGCAGTATGCAGGAGAAGAACACAAACAGGAGATGCCGCGGGGGGAACCAATCCTGGGTTACTGTAACAATAGTGCGGAGCCGAGCCAGCCAGAACCAACCGCAACAAGTAACGGTGCTGAAGCACCCATCTCTCGTCTGATTTTTCTCGTGTGAGTCTGCGTGTGCGTGTGTGTGGTGGTGGTTCTCCCGGTGGTCGCCGCTTCCATCTGGAATCCCACTTCGCTTCAACCCGTTTCTCCCACTCGGGGTCATCACGGTCACACCCTGACACCCTCCATCACCTGCTCTTTGCAACGTCATCTTTCATCTTTTGTATCTCACACACCACCATCTCGTCCTCCCTTTTTCATCTAATGAAAAGTCCCCTCGTCCTGCTAGCCGAGCCTCAGCAGCTTGCCGTTCTCCGATGCCTCACTGCGGCCCCGGGTTCCAAGGCTCTGAACCCATAGCTGCACCTGCATCTTTAATGGCATTTCAACAACGCTAGTCCGCCGAATGAACACACTCGAAAACGGCCTGATTTGCCAGCAACTTTCATCTCTCAACTCACCTACTTGTGGTCAGCCTGCCGTGCCCGGTGAGGCTCTCTGCATGGTCCGAGAAGGCTGATACGCCCGTTCCAACCCCCCTCCCCCCCAGCAACGCACACATAACAGGGTTGTGCACATGGCTACCCGCGCTTGATGGATACGCGCGATCACTTTGCCATATGCTCCTAGCCCTTTTATACCGTACCTCGCCTCCTCCGGTATCTATTTGGGTGTAGGACGGGAAAGGAGTTGGCCAAGTGAAGAGGGGAATAGAGAACTGAGGACGCGGGACGAAAGGAAATACACCAGTGCCGCCACGGATCCCACCGCTACCTACCGAATTTACGTTATTTCCCGGTCTCACACATCGTCCACCCTTCTCGACCCCGTCTTTCTACCATTCGGCCGCCGAGCCCCGTATTGAACCGGGCCCGACACCCAGCAGCACCGTGCCTGGTCTACCTCATGGCCCAACCCCATGCCGATCCCGCAGCGGAGCCAGCGGTCCCTTTGACAACCGCCAACGGTCACACGCAGCAAAGCCGATGGCGCAGGTTTTTTAGTCGGGACAAGGACAATGGAACCGATAGCATGCCAGATTCGGCCCTGAAAGGCGAGGAGGGCTTTGAGCAACCAGATGACTCCAGAACCGGCCTCATTCAACGTGTCTCCCGGAAAGTTGTCCCTGGCCTGCCCCGAACTCAAACGTTTAAAAGGCAGCGCTCTGAGGTGCGGAGCAGGTTAGAACCTGTCCACCCTACACCTGCCGAGCGAAGGACAGTCTCCATGGATAGGCGTGCGCGCGATTCCAACCCCGCCTTCAACCACCCGGATCCACGAACCAGCGCTCCCGACTTTTTGCACCACTACCTGAGCAATCCGCCCTCGCCCTCCTTCCCTATGAGTCCACCGGAGGACTGGCCTGACCCGCCTGAGGGCCTCGACACCCTCGACCCCGATATGGACTCCATCCAAGATGACTTTCTTCATGACGTCGAGGCCCTCTCCAGGATGGATGTCCAGTCCCTGACCACCTCGCAGTACGACGCCCTTATTGAGAGCGAGCTGGAGCGTAAATGGATCCTCAATCTATCCATGTACTTCCGGGACAAGTCCAAGAGGGAAAAGTTCTTCGTCACTTTCCGTCAACACGAACACCATTGGCGACGCGTCACTGTCTCGCTCGACTATCGAAATGCTCCAGAGAGCTCCCTCGAAGCTGACCTCGCCGGCACCCAATACCAGCGGGACAAGAGCGCCAAGATATATGAGGCCATCCGTGATAGTCTCGCCGAGATTGACTTCTATAACACCGTCACCAACCTGAAACTGGAAACAAAAGAAGGAAGATTGCATGTTCACGTCGTCGAGGATAACAATGTACGTTGTGCGTGACTTCCGCTCATAGCCTCCCTATTAACACCCATCAAGGAAATCATCAGCTACCCTCCAGTCCGTATGATTGAACACATGAACTGCAGGAGAGTCAAGGAGCGCGAGATTCACTTTGACTCGCACCTTTCGGGATTCGTTTACAGGGTCCAAGTCCATGGCAGGCTACTGATAAAGAAGGAAATCCCGGGCCCGGACACGGTCGATGAATTTCTCTACGAGATCAACGCGCTCCACCAGTTGTGTCCCGCCAAGAACGTGATCGAGTTCTACGGGATTGTCGTAGACGACAGGGAAGAACACGTCACAGGCCTCCTCATCAGCTATGCCTCACGCGGCGCCTTAATCGATGTCATCTTTGACAACGACCATTCCCTGCCTTGGCCCACACGAGAGAAATGGGCCCGCCAGATTGTCGGTGGCTTATCCGAGATCCATGAAGCTGGTTTTGTCCAAGGCGATTTTACTCTATCCAACATTGTCATCGACGAGAACTACGATGCGAAAATTATCGACATCAACCGTCGGGGCTGCCCAATTGGGTGGGAGCCCCCGGAGGCAACGCCCTTGGTCGAAAGTAATCAACGAATTTCCATGTACATCGGCGTCAAGTCCGATCTCTATCAGCTCGGCATGGTTCTCTGGGCCCTGGCGACACAAGAGGATGACCCTGATGCATATGACCGTCCTTTGAAACTCGACCCGGATATCCAGGTGCCGACGTGGTACAGACGCATTGTTAGCACTTGCCTCAGCACTGAGCCCAGGGATCGCGTCCAGGCCATCCAGCTTTTGTCGTGGTTTCCCGAGCCGGAAGAGGAAAGTCAGTATGGCGGCGTCAATGGGTCCGCCATGTCCATGAACGGTGACGGCAATGCCCGGCATGACTACTTATCGCCGTCTGGGCTACCCCGAATCAAGGCCGTTCACCCGCAGAGTGACTGGGCTTTCGTGGGCTGGAGTAACCACCCGGCCGACGAGCCTTTTTACTATCCGAGCAGGGGCAGATCTCCGCCGTCGCCGATGCCGAGCAACCAAGGAGACTATGACCCTGGACGATTTGGACACCCAATGTACACTTGGTCGGACAGTTACAACCGTGCGCCCACCGTGCCGTCTGTCAGCGACGTCCTCGCCAGGGAGGCTCGGGTGAAATCGATGTCGGGCCCGCAAGGTAGCGAGGAGACGTTGGAGACGTATGCGGACGGGCCTTACCGCTTCCGGGGTGCCGCGACCGAGACGAGCAAGGATGACGAAGCCTCTGCGCAACGAGGACGCTCGATGCAAAGGAAATACAATTCTGCGGAGCCAGAGCCGATGGCGTATGGCGGCCGGGGCTCGATTTTGTCATCAACACATAACCCATCGCCGCTACCGCGGAGTTTTGGAGAGGAGGGACATGCTGCGGGGGCCAAGGATGGGGCCCAGACCCAGGGGCACACAAAACCGGAATCACAGGCCGATAGCGGAAAGGACCTCACAGAGCGTTCTAGCACGCCGCGGGAGCATCGGGACTATTTTACCGGCAACCGGCAACGGTCCGTTTCTCGCGGGAGGAGCGGTAAAACTTCGATGGAGTTGGCATCACGGCAGAACGCTCAGCAGAAAACAACCATCACTACCGTCACCGAGCAGCCAGCACACGGTCTTCCTCTCGTTACTAACGGTGGAAACTACAACACCGCACCCCTAACTGACGGGGACAGACACCCACACACCCACGAGAGTGAACAAAACGCAAACCCCCAACCACCCATATCAGACTTGTCTCCAGCTCCGCACACCAAGCTTAAGCGGGCAAATGACGACCTGAAGGGTGTCGGTTCGGCTTTGGGACCTATCAGTATCGGCGACCGCGACGCGAATCGACAGCACGAGATCAACATTGATGAGGATTTGAGCTCGGAGTTTGAGAAGGGCCTCGAAGAAGTCCCAACTGCCAACGACAGAAAATAACGACTAACGACGGGGAGGGTTGTTTGTCGTCGTATATACACGGTATTTTCTTTTAACGTCTCCACTTCCACGTTTATAATCGTATGCGATGCTTTTTGTTTTTCTCATTTATGGGGGCGGTTTATAGCGAGGATGGGCGCAAGCGCAACGGACTAGGTGACTTGGTTCATTGGGTTTTGAGCGAGGGAGTAGGTCGGGCGGGCATGGGCGGCGGAAGACACTTTGAATGATTTATGACTTTTGCGTTGCTATTTTGCAATTTCTGTCGCCACCTATCACTGCATTTGGCTGGTTGGGTGGTGTTTTGTTATTCTTGCTACTCTTACTTCTTCCACTTAAATATTCTAATGTGTTCTGCAAAGGACGAGTGTGTTATGATTTATAAGACCTCCAAATCCCACGCTGTTGGGGTTCATTCAAGGTCAATACCTATATAATATGTTGCTCTGACCTTCCTTACGCAGCCTACTTGTTAGCTGTGTTAATCGTTGCTTTTTGAACGTATGTGGGCGGTTTAGAGCCAAGAGCACGCATATCCAACACCATCCTGCCGGTGTTCATCTTGCTAACGCTATATATGGCCTTGCCGTAGTCTTTCTTTGATAAGGATGCTTCTGCGACGGGGCAAGAACCATAGGGTCTAACCCAGCCCTTATACTTTTGCTTGATAGGGAAGAAGCATAGAGAAAGCTGACGGGCCCTACACGTCCGCTCAGTATAAAGTCTTGGGTGGCATTTACACTTGTTCCTGGCCCTCAGGACTTGCCATCCTGCAACGTGGAGGATTCCGCCGAGATGTTCAGCTTCATTCAGGAGCCACCGGAAGCTCACGTCAGGCTTATCATGCCCATCTACATACGCATAAGCATCCTACTGGGTAACTCGGCTGTCCCACTCGGCCAAGGATGGGGGTTTAGTTGTGACTGCAATGAAAGACCGGCCGGCTGACAGTGATAACTATGTCTATCATCTCGATGGCAGAGAGGTGTGCCTAGCGTTGGACCTTAGCTAGAGCAAAACCGAGCCGCCGGTAGAGGAGTCCGGATGCGGAAGACTACCGTGATAGCAGCCTCACCGGTGAAGTGGGTTTTTGCCGGGGCGGTGTGGAGTTCCCGCTTCCGAACTCCGGGGTGGCGGTGGAGACTGAGCCTTCGCAACGGGACCGACCGTTTTAATGCGAGCTGAAGTATGTGTATATCTGTACGTAACTCGATGCGGGGAGCACGGAGTGAAAACTCAGAGTAAGCCTTGAATCGTTGACTGACTGAGGCATTACTTCTTCGCAAAAAGCCTAGACCGGGTAGCTATCAACATCGGCAGATCGGTAGCTCAGGTAGTGCTGTCACGGAGGGTGGAAGTGGACACAAGATCGCGGAGAGTCGGCCCCACCTCACAGGGCTGAGGGGAAATGCCGCGCTCCAGCCCTTCAGCCCCCCACGGCCGCGGATAATCCTGTGGCGGCCCAGGTTGCGAGTGTGGCGTCTACCTGCTCGCGTGCCAAACGCAGGAACGTGAAGATCCTTGTGAGTGGCGTGAGGAATCTTGATGAGACGGGACGAGCATGTGCGCCATCTTTCCTCAGCTGCCAACAAGCGAAAAATTGCATGTGATTCCCTCAACTGCTCAGAATCTGGAGAAACCTTGTCGTCAACGACCACCAACACCGTCAATTGCCACCCATTCCAGGCCAAGATGGGGAGGAGGTGTGGGTTTCTGGTTTTTACCAGAAGCTTGGGGATGCGGTCAAGTGGGGCCCGGTTCGACCGGTTCCCGCATCCCCTGACGCAAGTAACCAATCAGCGGCCCGAGAGTTTCGCAAGGCATGCCGAGAGGTCCAACGCCTCCCCAACACTTTCCTCAACAATTTCGGCCGGGACAACGGCTGCCCTCCAAACCCTCGCTCTTTTGGGCAGGGAGAGGCGTTTGCAGTGCGATGGCGTGTCGCACGGGCTTGACAGGTCTCCTCTCGGCCGAGGCCGAACAATTGATCTGGCCATGCAGTGCGAAACAGTTTTCGACCCGACATGCCGAGCCGATTCTCTATTGGCGACGTCTTCTCAAGATGCCCCCAACGGATGGAGTGGATGAAGTAGCATGAGTGGCAAACCGCCTTTTCTGGGACGAGAAAGAAGATGACTGAGCCAAGAGGAGTTTCACGTTTCCATCTGGACTATTGATTGTCCAATTGGAATGCCCGGTTTTTGTTGTTGAACACTGGGTTCGCTTTCCCATGTTCGCTGCTGCGTGCCATGCAAGCACACCACACTGCACTGGGGAGCTACGTTCCTTGACACTTGGACCTTCCTCCTCAACCACCCGCAGCTCCCTGCTTACTTGTCAACCCACCCTTGCTCTTTTGCATTCCATATAATAATAACTTCCCGCCTTGTCACACCCTTCCCTTTCCACCTTGGTCGACCAAGAACCTGTCCCCCTCTACCACGCTCTTCACATCCATCAACTTGTTGTTGATTGAGTGTGAGCATACCGGGTCGACCTTGTTCCCGGATCGACGACACTTCAACGAGCACCCGACTCGGTGTTGACCGGCTTCGCCATACTCGTTCGCGATGGCGTCGTCCACGTCCAAGGTGCCCGTGGCGCAAGCCGACACCTTCCCGGATGGCACTACCGACCACGTCCCTCTGCGGAAGAAGACTTATGATCTCCGCAAGCCTCGTACGTACCAACCTGTGGCCTATGTGTGCGTGGGTTTCGAAATACTGACAATCCCCGATATAGACATCACTGACCAGCCGATAACATGGGCCAACTGGTACCAACACGTCAACTGGCTTAACACCTACTTCATCGTCATGGTGCCCATGGTCGGTCTGATTTCCTCGTACTGGGTTTCCCTGCAGCTCAAGACGGCCATCTTTGCTGTCGCCTATTACTTCTTCGCTGGCCTCGGAATTAGTGAGTTTGACCAATTGAGCGAGAGCATAGGGATAATACGGACTAACCAACACACCTTCCAGCTGCCGGCTACCACCGTCTGTGGGCTCACTCAAGCTACAAGGCGTCCCTTCCTCTCAAGATCTTCCTCGCCGCTGGTGGCGCTGCCGCTGTTGAAGGTAGCGCTCGTTGGTGGTCCAGCCTCCACCGCTCCCACCATCGCTACACCGATACCGAGAAGGACCCGTACTCCGTCCGCAAGGGCCTCCTCTACAGCCACATCGGATGGATGGTCATGAAGCAGAACCCCCGCCGCATCGGCCGCACTGACATCACCGACCTGAATGACGACGCCGTCGTTGTTTGGCAGCACCGCAACTACCTCAAGTCAGTCCTCACCATGGCCATAATCGTGCCCATCCTTGTCTGCGGTCTCGGTTGGGGCGACTACTGGGGCGGCTTCGTGTACGGCGGTATCCTGAGAATGTGAGTGCCACGACCACCTAAAGACAAACTGGACCCCCGTGTACTAATACATTCCAGCTTCTTCATCCAACAGGCCACCTTCTGTGTCAACAGCTTGGCCCACTGGCTCGGTGACCAGCCCTTCGATGACCGCAACTCACCGAGGGATCACGTCATCACCGCTCTCGTTACCCTTGGCGAAGGCTACCACAACTTCCACCACGAGTTCCCCAGCGACTTCCGCAACGCGATCGAGTGGTGGCAATACGACCCTACTAAGTGGTTCATCTGGACCATGAAGCAGCTTGGTCTCGCCTACAACCTAAAGACCTTCCCCCAGAATGAGATCGAGAAGGGCCGTGTCCAGCAGCAGCAGAAGAAGCTCGACCAGAAGCGTTCCACCCTCGACTGGGGTATCCCTCTCGAGAGCCTGCCCGTTGTCAGCTGGGATGATTTCGTTGAGGAGTCCAAGAATGGCAAGGCTTGGATTGCCATCGCTGGTGTCATTCACGACGTCGGCAAGTTCATCGCTGATCACCCGGGCGGCAAGGCCCTTATTTCGTCCGCCATTGGCAAGGACGCAACTGCCGTCTTCAACGGTGGTGTTTACAGCCACTCCAACGCCGCCCACAACCTGCTCTCCACTATGAGAGTCGGTGTTCTGAGGGGTGGCTGCGAGGTGGAAATCTGGAAGCGCGCCCAATCCGAGAACAAGGATGTCAACGCCGTCACCGACTCGTCCGGCCAGCGCATCGTTCGCGCCGGCGACCAAATCACCCGTATTGGCCGTCCCATTACCACTGCCGACACCGCATAAGTGTGGGGGCGGTAAGCACCTTCAAAGAGGAAATATGTCAGTCACAGCTTGGGCCCTTTGATATCGCCCAGCCGCAGGAGGTGGCTGGCCGAGGGTGTCCCTTTTTTTCTCGACTTTAGACAGCTGTTTGTGGCACGCGTCATTTTTAAAAGTACTCGTCTGCTTTTGGGTCTTTTCCGGCGTTACGAGTCAATGGGTAATGGGACTGGAGTTTTCTGTCAATCACGGCGTGGCATGGGGGGGCATTGGCATGGTTTATAGGCATTAACGAGACTTGGAATGTGAAAGACAAAAAAGATGACATCCACAATAGTTGGCCGGGGTTCTACAAGTTTCCAGATGACTCAAATGTTCGTGGCGTAACCTTTGAAACATGCCAGCGGCTCCTTTAACTAAACATAAGGCTGGAGTAGACAAACAGGTTTGGGTCTGTAGTCTTAATTGAACTGTCAGCTATTTATTTCAACCATCTCTAGTATGGTAGGCAAGGAAGTGCTTATATGGACAGGTGCTCCTCGCTTGATTCTCTCGATCCACTGAAGCCAACACCGTCCGGGAATTCTTGACCAAGCAAAGCCGAACGTTGAATTCATCAACAGTCCTTACGGTTTTGACTTTTCCTCGGTGTCTCTTGCTTGGGGTATGGTATGTAAGCCGTTCCCGACAACTCACCCAGGCGCACTTGAGCTTAGGGAGTTCGTATGCATTTATATACCAAACCCCGAAGGTGAGAAAGCGGAGAACAGAGCCATGGAAAAGAAGTAAAAAGAAAAAGCTGGCGCTATGTCGCTGATGATGTCTAATCAATGCTGTCTGTCTGCCTGTAAAACTAAAAACTCAGTGATACCATCCCGGTTCCAGGCTTTAACCGCGCCAGCCAGACTCTATGATGACCCGAGAAACAATGAAAGGGAAAAAAAGAATATGTGTGCTTGTCGATGAGATGGAGTAGAGATCTGGAAACCGCTAGAAACCGCCTGCCCGATGCACATCCGCTTTAAAACCGCGCGATGACCCTGTCCGCCCTCCAACTCGATCCCTTCGCCATGCCATGTAGCCCCTGTGGATGTATTGGTCCCGGCTCCCCCAAAATAAACGAACGACCTGAAAATGCGCGTGTAAAAACCGGAGATGCCGCTAGATAGTACCCGTAGTGAATCCCTTGCCCGACTATTTATTATGAAATGCGGAAACGATAATAATGGTCCGATGGAGAATGCAGTTGATCGTGACGTCGTAGTTAGTGCTGCCTGTCCATGCTTGCGAAACCTTAGAAGCTTTGCGAGCGCTATCCTGGCCCTGTGTTGTTATTTGATGGTTTCGGAACGAACTCCAAGAGGACCAATATGAAGATTTTGAGAAAGCCGTAGCTGTATCCGCGATGGTAGCCAAGGGAATAAGCTCGCTACTTATTTAAAGAGGCTGCGCAGGTCCATCAAGCGTTGCCTTGCAGCCTCGGTGCGGTCAGTAATCCTGTCGTTAGGATCACGGTCCATACTGAGGCTGGCTAGCTTCTTTTTCTTGTCCTGTAGCTGGAGCATCTTTTCCTCGAAGCTATCCTTCATGATGAAACGGACGGTGCGGACAGCGCGGGTTTGACCTAACCGATGGACGCGATCCACAGCTTGTGCCTCGGCAGCCGGGTTGAACTGCGGTTCCATGACGTAAACGCTGTTGCCGGCCGTCAAGTTGAGCCCTAGTCCGCCGGCCATGATGCTAACTAGTATGACCTGAACGGAGTGATCATCGCGGAATGCATCCATCGCGGCATTTCGGGCCGTGCGGGTCATTTTCCCATCGAGTCGCGTGTAAGTGATACCAGCGTTATCTAGAGCGATCTGGATAAGATCGAGGTGCGAAGTCCAGCCGGAGAAAACGACCGACTTAAACGGAGGCTCGTCGGGGTACAAGGCACTCTGTTCTTTGTTGGCGAGCAGTTCCTCGACCAGGACACGAGTCTTGGTGTGTGGCCCGCCGTAGCGATCACCCGGAATGATCTTGCCAGTGCCGCCTTTGTTCTTTGCTACGCGGGACTCGTGTTCCATGTCAGCGCGCTTGCGCCGCAGCTCAACGCAGCCTGACTTGACGAGACGGGCGCACACGTCGCAGCCATTTTGCTCATCTCGTAGTAGGTTTACGCAGGGCGGGCAGTACGTGTGAAAGCATCGCGCCATGTACCCAAGGATGTCGTCCTGGCGATCGGACTCAGGGTCATCCACTTCAACAGCTCCCAGCTTCGTGTTGCACCTGGAGCAATTGTCGCTGTTGCCCTCCTGCATCAAGTATAGCATCTCGTATGCCTTCTTCTCCTGCAGCACGGGCCGCTGGTCTTCGTCGTCATCGCTGTCGAGGTCGATGGGCGTATCAGCGGTCATTCCCTGGAGGTCAGCGAGGTCCTCATCGTTGAGGAGCTCTTTGCCATGCGCACAAATCAAGCGAAGCTGCAGAATCGACCGCAGGATGTGTATCATGGTCTTGCCACCCACGATGCGTTCTTGACCAATGCCTTGGCCGGTCAAGGCCCGGACACGGTCCTGAGCCGTCTTTGCGAACCAGTCGTACACCTGCCGCTCCTCGGGGCTGAAGTCCAACCTCATGACCTCGTCCGTACGATCGGGAAGGTGGATCTTGTCTTTGAGCCTCCGCAGGGTGATTGTGTCAATGAGAACACGGAGCTTTGGCACAATCTCCGGATCCGCGGCCTTGAAGGGCTGGATGATGAACTGTAGAAACTTGCTCTTCTCATCGAAGGGCTTCAGCCGCAAAAATGCGAGTAGCGCGGCCAGATCCTCCAGTTTGTTCTGGACTGGAGTTCCGGTGACGGCCCACCGGCGGTTTGCTTGCAGGCGGCAAATTGACTTGAATGCCAAAGTATTCTGTTCTCGGATGGTGTGGGCTTCATCCAGGACGATGCGGAACCAACCGATCTCCTCGAGAGGGTATGCCCCCCGCTTCCGCTTGTTGCGGGAGTTGAGTTCGCTAACGACAGAACCGTAGGTGGTGATGACCAGGTCAAACTGCGCCAATTGCGCGACGTCCTTGATGCGGTTGGGCCCGTGGTAGATGTGGTAGGAGATCGTGCCCGGCTTGATGTGTTGCTTGATCTGCTCTTCCCAATTGGTAACGGTGCTGAGGGGGCACACGAGCAAAGTCGCCTTTGCGTTCTGCCGCAGTGGTGTCAGATCAAGAGCCGGCATCTCGAACCGATGTTGGAAAGGGTGCTGCGATCTCCGCTCGGGAGCTTTCGGTTGGACCGGAGCAAGCTGTGACCAACGATCCGCAGCATCGAGAGTCTTGGTAAGCAGCGACAGCACGCTGAGAGTCTTGCCCAATCCCATCATATCGGCCAAAATGCCACCCAAAGTCGACGGGGGCTGTTCTCGTTGAGTCTGGTTGGTGACGACATTGTAATAGGCTACGGTGCCGAATCGGTCTTTCTTGCGCTGCCAGGTGGACGTGATTAGGGCCTTTCCGGAGTCCGGTAGTTGCTCGGACTCTCGAGCCGTCATGAAGAAGAGGGCTTGCCGCTGATGCTTGAGTAGAGTTGTCAGAACCCGCGCATCAGGCTCTGCCTCAGGTAATTCCTCGGATTTGGGAAGGGAATCAAAGACACCCAGCACCTCAGAGCGAATCTCTTCGACCGTGCGCACCACGGGCGGCAGACGGTACTGTTGACTGCTGCTCCCATTGTTCGGACGGGCGGTTGTAGGGAGCCTGTTCTCAGTTGCCATGGGGTTGAAAACCCTGACTCCGCTCTCGACCCGCGGCGGGCTCACCAGGCTGAGCTTCCTGGCGTGCATGTGGTTACCGACCTGGTTGGCAAATTTTCGAGGTCCGTAGACCATGAGCTCGAACTTGCAACTAAGCGAGGTCGACCCGCCAATCTGCTCACCGGGGAGCTTTCGCCTCGAGGGAATACGGCAGTCTGTACGTATTCGCAGCGCCGAGTCTAACAGGGGGGCCAGGCACTCTGCGGTCTTGACATCGATCACGCCAAAGATGTGGCGTGTGTGGTCGTAAACGGAGATGATATTCGTTTGGTCGTCTGACTTTCTCTTAAGCACAACCTTGACCTGCGGCCAATAGCCATCACCGTTAATGGAGACCATGCCCGGTTTTGGTGCTGGGACCCTGTGACAGTTAATTGAGGCACCTTCCACCATCCCGTAACAGACCTCTTCATCTTTAACAGGATCTTTGGGTGTCTGGATTAGCGAAGCCGGTTCCGAGTCACCCTCGGTCAGATCAATTGTCTCGGATGGTTTCCGTGTTGGTTTGGGTTGGTTGGCATCTCCAAACTGCGGCTGCTTAAGGTGCTGAGTGAGGATGCTGGTCCCTGCCCCGGAGAAACTAGAAAATGAAGCGTTGTGTGCCGGGAGTAGGGGTGTAGGGTCATTCTCGTTCGTCGTCTTTCTCCGCTTCGGCTGAGGAACAGCGGTGCGATCTTGCACATTATGCAGACGCTCGATGCTGTGACTGAAACCGTTTTGGTAAAATGGCATGTTTGATGGGTGGCGCTGCGCACCATGCTGGTCCATGGCGGTCCCAGACGCTGTGATGGGGATGCCGGCGAAATCGACAGCCAGTTGTTCGCCGGGGCTGGCGAACTGGAAAGACATCTCTGGTTGTACGGATTGAGCCGAGTGAGTCGAGGAACCAGGCACGGCACCAGCAGACTGAGGCCTGGCCGGCGGGGAGGTCCCAGCCTTGCCCGGGTTCAACAGCGCAGCGGGACTCCACATGATGCCCTCTCTTTGCCTTCTCTAAGGCTTGACGTGAGCGATGCTGTGTCTGAAGTTCAGATTAGTATAAGGTCGCGCTTCTCTGCGTTATGCCTGGATGAGTTTCGTGGATGAAGAGGTTGGGTGAAGGTGGGGGTTTTGATGAGGTCGCAGTTCGGGCGGTGAGAGGTGAGGTTAAGTAGCTGAGACGACTGGGAGGGCTCACCGAGCTGTGGCTGCTGGCGAGCGACCAACGCCTTTTCCACGGCGTGGCGCTTCTTAGACCAGAAATACCAGTAGTTGCATCAAAAGCCCCGGCAGAAGCATCACAAGCAGTGAAAACTTCTGGCGATCGAAACGAGGGGCTGGAGCGAAGGTATTTTGAGTGGGATGTATTCCTCTTCTCCTTGTTAGGTACCGAGTCTCTCTCGCAAGCGATTGTCAGCGAACGGAGGAGAGTCAGTTGATTTGAGTTGGAGGGGCAGCGATAGCGGAAGGAGCAGGTGCTAGGAAAAACGGTCGGCCCCGAATTCTGGATTGGCGAGTTGGGCTAAAAAGCAAGAAATAAATTACACCTAGAACTCTCGGCAACGTTTATAACGGAGGAAGGCACGCAAATGAATTTGGATAGGAGTAGCCCAGGACATGAGAGGAAATAGGTGGTAGGTAAGGTAAGGTAGGCTTGATGCTGTTGCTTGTTGCCCTCACTTTTTGGATGCCAGAGGCTTTATCGCAATCGCCTGGCTACGATAGGCCCGCGTGACCCAGCACAGGCTGCAGTGGGAAAGGAGCACGTGCCACGCGAGATACTGTACCTTGGCAGCTGTGGTCTCTTTTCACTTGGCAGGGTTACGGTTTTCGGAAGTACCATGCTGTCTTTGCAGGCAACTCGACCTTTTCTGTGTTGGTGTTGCGTAACGGCCAGGCAGCGCCGGTCCTCGATTTGAACCCTTGACAGCCAACGCTCCAACGGATGAAGACAAAAAACCCTGCGTGTTTCAACACAGGTGTGCGTCAGGGGCGGCAAATACCTGCAAGATGATGCTTCCTGGCATGCCTGGCCCGACTCGCCGAGAGCTTAACCTTTCTAGTATGCCATCTACCAATCTGATGTGCAGCTCGTACGTAAGGCAGATACGTACATCCAACTGTGTATTCTCTCCCCGCATCAATGACATATGCTAGTAGAGTAACACCACAACTTTAAAGACCAAAAGTCCGGAGATGGATATAGCATAGCGTACATACCAGCCCCCGCCTCGAAGCCCCCATGTTGACGCGCATAAAAGAATGACAAATGCCAAATATCCAAACTCCAAGCGGATGAAAGCAAAACAGCCTCGGTGATTACCCCGGCTCCTTCGTCCGGGGCCAAAAAAGACCGGCTCCAAGGACGACGCTGGTTTCCGAAGTCAAGGGAAAAACCGGAACCTTCCCAGCCATTCGCGCAGTAAAACCTCAGCCTCATGACTCCCCTGCTGACCTCCCCCAACCCCACTCTCCCGCCCTCCGCCCACCGTAGCATACCGCCCCCCCACTCCACCACGACCTCATCGCTTCACCTCCTCTGGCATTCTGAGCCCGCCGTGCCCCCCTCAACTGCCGACGACACAGGCCCCACCCCCACTCTCACCACCCGCTCTCACCACCGCTCTCACCGCCACCACCACCACCACCACCGGCCCGAGAGAACACCACCCACCACCAACCCTTCCACCCCCCCAACGCTAACCCCGAACCCGACCCGGTGCTCCCGAGCCCGACTCCTCGTCCGCCTCCTCCTTCTCCTCCCACTCCTCACATTCCCACTCCCACCACCACCCCCATCACCACTACTACTACCCCTCCTCTCACCACCACCACCCCCCAACACCACGAATCTCCCCTTCCCCAACCCCCCCAGCGGCGACCTCGAGCGCGAGGGACTCAGACTGCGTCTGCGCCGCCGCCTTGTTGTCCGCGTCCGCTCGCGCTCGGTGTGCACGACGCGCAGGAACCGCTTCGTCGGCCCGGCGGTGGCGGCAGCGGGAGCAGCGGGAGCAGCGGCTGTTGGGGTTGAAGTTGGGGTCGGGGTTGGGGTTGGGGTTGATGAGGTGTTGGTGTTGGCGGTGGGGAGGGAGGGGAGGGGAATGGAGGGGGAGGTGGAGCGGTGGCGGACGCGGCCACGGAAGGTGGACGAGTCGGTTGGGCTGGGGCGGCGGTAGAGGGTTTGGGATGGTGGTGGGTTTGTTATTGTTGTTGTTGTTGTTGTTGTTGTTGCTGGTGGTGGCGGTGGTTTGGTGGTGGGGTTGGGGTCGTCGGGGAAACGGCGGCGTTTGCGGCCGCGTGGGACTTCGGGTTCGTATTTTATTATGTTGTTGCTGTTGCTGTTGTGTCTGGTGATGGGGATGAGGAGAAGGTGTGGGTTGAGGTCGAGGTTGGGGGTGTTGCTCTGCTAGATCGAGTTGAGATACGGATACCCTGCCCCGGGATGGTTGGGTGGGTTGGGGCATGGGTTGCCATGGATGGTTGGACGGTGAGTATCGGCTGCTAAGTGTGTGGCGAGGCTGCAAGAGGTGTCATGTGTGCCCCGTGAAGGTTCGTAAACTCTAGCGTATCTAAAGGCCTGGAGTTGATGGTATGTTGAGCAGAGTCGTCTGCGCTCGTCATTGAATATTGAAATAGACATCCACTCGGGCGACAGTTGTGGCTCGCCGCGTCATACGACATGGAACAACGCCTTAACCTTGCGCGTGATACTTCATGACTCGAGGATCTAGACTATAACGATATATAACCGCACAACCAGGAGCCCTACCTTGGTTGGACCCCAGTGGAGCACATTAGTAGCACCCTTCGTACAGGCTGGGATAGTTTCACCTAGCAACGGTGGTGTGATGGCACGATGGAAACACCGCATATTGTGTGTCCCGAACACGGGATGCGTGATGATGCCCCAAGCCTTCTCCCAGAAATCTGGGGTGACAAGTGTAGGCGTCATAGAAACGTTCTGCCCCTGCCGATCTTTTCTAGCCGGTTTCTTTTGCGAGTCCCATGCACACAGCGGCCCCGGTGATCGAACCAATCGTATACGGAGGGGAGAAACCAGATTTGGTGGATATCTGGGTGTGCTGCGAGGACGCTGCAACCACCAGTTCTGGTGCGTGCATGTCGAAGCTGGTATCTTATGATACATATGGTACAGTTGTTGATACAGCCAACCTCAAGTGACAACCACGCTCTAACTGGCTTGGCAAGCTTCCTTGATGAGCGTAACGGCGCGCTTCTTGTCAAACGAGGCCCCATCCAGCAACCCGCCCGGCTTGAAGATGTTCTTTATTATTTCTCCGTGCAACGCCGCGCCCTTGACGCCTTGGGCAACCAGAGCGGCCTTGGCGGACTCGATAACCTGCCTCAGCTCGGCTTCTCCCATTTCTTTGACGCCGCTGCCCGCAGCATACTCCTCAAGGATCCGCTGTTGAGCCTCCTCTTTCTCAGCCAAATCCTCCCGACCCGCCTGCCGCGCCTCGGCGGCGGCTTCTTGTGACTTGCGTGCCGACTTCTGGAGCAGGCCAACGAGTTGCACGTCCGTCTTGATAGGCTTGTCGGTTTTGCTAGCGTTGAGGGTCTCCGCGAGCACGGCGCGAAGGACAGCGAGGCGGTTCGCGTCCTTGGCCCTCATGGCCGCCTTCAGGTCATCCTTGAGCTTGGCAAGAAGAGGCGGCGGCGGAGCGGGCGGTTCGGTCGAGTACGCCGCGCGCGACACACGGAGGGCCGCCGTTCGTGGTAAGGTCGGCCGGCCGAAGCTCCGGAGGAGCATGGGGAGCTTGCTCGCCATTAGAGTCGGAGGGGAACCCGGGGTGGGGGCGGGGACGGGGGGATGGGGTGGTCGGGATCCGGTAATATAGGAAGGATGAGTGCGGGCTGATGGAATGAAGTACTGTGTTATGCGAATGGGTAAGTTGACGGTCCAGGGATTTCGCAAAGGCAGGTCGGTGTTTTTCAAAATTCGTCAAAAATCGACTGCCCAAGCCGAACAGACCTGCACCGGATCGGCACGGCAAGTAAGCCCATTGGCACGCTAAACTGCAGGCCATTGGTTGTGTTCATTGGTTGATGGTCTGCCCCTGTTTTTCGGTGGCCGACCGCAACAGCAAGACGTCACTGCACAACATCCCCTAATTTCCAAAGACCGGGTTACTCGTCGCCGCTCCGCGGCTGTTGTATAAATAGTAAGACTAGAGGCATCTCAAATGCTAAATATTTGT